ATTCTCAGATCCCACTCTATGTTCCTGTCATGCGAGGTGTAAGGAAACAGAAATCTCTTTGGGTATCACCATTTTGGTACAGAGACTCCACATCCTTTCCCTTTCTTTGCTATCCCTCCTACATCAATATATAGAAAAGTGACTTCTATCAGACACTGTGGATAGCTTACTGAAAACAAGTGGATGCAAGACGACAAAAGCAATGGTATGACTAATACTGTGACAAAAACAAAGTGTCCCTAATGGAGAACTTTTCTGGAAGAGTTAAAAATGCAAGCAGAAACAATTTTAAATACATTAATTGTGATGTCTACAATACATTGACAGACATATTCAAATATAGTCTATTAGAGGCTAATAATTTTGTAATTTGGAAGCAAAAATTCAATCCAAAGGCAAGCTTTGCATAAACAAGATGGGAAATGGAGAACCACCATTTAAGTCTAAAGAATGTCCTTGTCTTCTGACTTAAAACTGGGCAAGCAAATTTTTAAATAAAAAGCTGTAAAACTATGATGTAAACTATGTTATTGTGTTACTCTACTTAATTTCATCTGGCAACAAAACAAAGTATCTAATATAATTAGATCAGGGTGAGGTCTTCTTGGCTATGGCTGCAAGCCTACCTACAATTCTAGATTTATCACCAGGAATTCCCTCAAACTTGGTTAATGCAGTGAAGAAACATAACCATCACAGTCACCAGCACAACTCATCATGGGATAATGAAATCTATTTTAATCAATACATATTAGTCAGCGGAGGGATCTGGTTCAATGACTCACTGAGCAACTTTGTCAATCAGAGAACTAAATTATTGCTGCCTTACCCTACAGTCCCTTATTTCTCAAATCCAAACTATGTCTCGCTTGAAGGAAAATTGGATCAAGTTAATTTTCACTGCCAAAGTGTTTCCAATTCTAAATTATTGCACTGCACCTATTCAGTTTAACTCCTTTTCTGTCCCCTGAACACAAAAAGGTTCATTTAATTCACAGCAATGCAGAAGTGCCAATAAACTGCCATCAGGAATTTCAACCTGCATTAAGTTCAGCTACAAGCTAGAGCTACCGGGTTCAGAACCAAACTTCCCTAAAATTTGTGGAGATTGGTTTGGAATCAATCTTACACCGTTTATACATTGTATTCAGCTACTCAATGGCACCTAACACTTGCTTATTCCATCCCATCACTTCTTCTCAAAAATAAGTTTCTAATGCTAAATCTTTTTTAACTCCACTGCTTCCATTTTAAGGAATGCCTTATTTGCATGAAGAGGGAACCCTGTCTCCATTTTCCTGTAAACCTGCAGGCTTTAGGGCTGTCCAAAACTTGTATCCTTTAGGTTAGGAGTTTGTAAAGTCTAAATCTTGGTTCATAAGCATCCTAGTAAATGTGGAGCCTCAGGTCTGCCATGTCGAGCTTATTTTTTTCTGGGGTGTATCTGTGGCCATCAGGAGCAGGCAATCCCCTTGCCTTATTATGACAGGATGGAAAAAGGGGCTCGCTTGCCTCATTGGAGTCTTCACACACTGGGCTGGCTAACAAGCAGTGGCTGCTGAAGCTTCCCTGGGGGAGAGGAGCTGCTACGTATCTCCCCCTGAAGCTTCTGGCTCGATACCATTGACACAAATGAGTACCCATGCAGGTCTCCACAAGTTGCAGAGACTGACTCAGGAGCGTGAGACAAATATACGCTCCTTGCAATGCAGAGACAAGAAGTTCTTGTGATACAGACATATTTTACATTCAGTTTTGTATTTCAGAATACATCTTAAGAGTCCCTAAACCCACCAGTGCAACTACGCCTCAAGGAAAGCTTACAACTAGGCAGAGAAGACAGAAAGATGCTAAAGCCTTGCACCTCCTCCAGACAGGATCCAGCAAAATCCTCATGGTCCTGACAGCCTGGCACTGACAAGGTGAAATAAGGCTCACAAAGTTTCTATATATTGCAGAGGCACCGAAGGAATGTGTAGATGGCTTCGCAGAGGTTAGCTCAAACAGCAAGAAGCCAACATTAATCCAGTTGGCTTTGATTAGGGCTACAGAAGATCCCGTTTTCAGAGCGCAGGAAGTTTTCCTATCCAAAAAGACTAAACGGTGTCTTAAGTTGCACAGCGACTTTACTGCAGGACTCCAGAAAAAACAAAAGATATGGTGTACTCAGTGTTAACCCTTAAGAGCCATAGTAGGAAAAATCCACTAGTTTGACTGACTCTGTAAGGATGCTAAAAAAGTTACATTTGAATAACCTTTAATCTGACATTAAATAGCAATGCCCTGAGTTTTTTTGAAATGTCAGTTTTCAAAATGAATGTAAACTCTGTTCAAGAATGAGCTTTGTTGTTTCCCCTTACTTTAAAACAAGGGTGGTACTGTTATTTGGAATAATATTTCAGAATGTAAAAGGGAACAACCATATTTGGTTGTTAAGCTCAATTTGTCTGAATTTTAGTACAAAGCCAGAATAATGTTTATGCTGCATTTCCTTATAAATTCTGAGGATATTTATCATAAAATTTTCTCTGCCTCATCCCTCCCTTATTGTAACAGCTTTCAGTACACAGTAGCTGCCTGTCAGTTATTGCCCCGAAACAAATGTAACATGGTGCCAAAATCTTAGTCCAAGTATTAATTAGGCACTTTTCAAAAAAGTTTGCAGTAGTGACATTTATGTTTCTTTTTGACAAGATGTGCAGCACCATGGTTTTTGCTGCTTATATTGTATGCACTGCATAAATGGATTTGACAGGTAGATGCATATGAACAAATAATACAAAAGTCTGCTTACTTTCTGGCAAAACACGTCTGTGTGCTCTGACACTGAACATCTGCATTTACCTGTAGGTCACTGAGGGAGCCACGCCCAGCGCACCTGCCATCTACAAAATCAGCAGTCAATTGCCTAGAAATCTGACTTAATTTTGCACTGAAAAATTAAAGCAACACCACTCCCTATGCAGAAAGCAGTAAATACATAAAAACATGAAAACAATAGGAAATCCAAAATCCAGATCACTGCTTTTCCTTTTGCAGAGATCATGATCAGCTGTAGTGACTTCTTTCAGACTATGAAAAAGCAGTAAAAAGCAAACATATGTCAGAAGTCCCCAGGACAGAGAGCACAGGAACATAAAACCCCAGGTGCCCCACCTCTGTGGGACCAGAAGTGCATACAGAGAGACTCCTTGCTTTTAAATTCAGCAGTTACAGGAGAGGTGTTATGTGGTGTGCCCTGCTCCTTTTATGATCAAAGGCTGAGCATTCACCGGTACATCTCTTTCCATGGGTCTCTCCCTAGACAGACCACAGACAGTACCAGCACTTCCCAGTAGCTGTCAGGATCTGAGGGATGCAAGGATTCATGTACGAGGGATAAAAGTGAAAACCCTTTCACCAGAAAAAAGAGATGAGAAGTTTTTGGTTTCTTTAACCAGGGAGAGGAAAGAACATACGATGAGAATTTTAAATAATGTGTATGTATTCAAAAGAAAAAGGAATTAATTTAGTCACACTCAGATGTGAATATATATTCACTTCTACTTCATGAATGAAAACAAGTGTTTTATTTTATCTCAGTCTTTATAAGGGCATCAATAGTAGTACTTCCAGCTAGCCTAAACCAGGTTTTTCTTCACATTTTTCACTGGCAAGCCAGGACTGAAATATCCTCAGAGCTTTGCTCAATCAGTACATTATTCCCCCTTTGGCCTAGGAAAATAGCTGAGCCCATCTTCCGCTTTATGGCTTTTTATCTTGGCCCTAGCAAGCACTCTGATAGACTTACGGACACAGAAAATACCTTTTATCAGCAAGATGGAAAGCAAGCACTTTGCCAGGCAGCAGTAACTTTTCCAGCTTGGGTGAATGCAGCCGACCAGAGCCCAAGTCCTCCTTTCCCTATTAGCTCCTCTTCTCTCCTGACTCCCAGCCAGACCTCACCGTTTACAGCTGGGCTTCTTCCCCCCTCCCTGCCACCTACGTCCCTTCCCCAGGCACTCAGGCAAGCAGTTACAAAAAGGAGAGGTAAAACTTTGGCTTGATTAATTGCTTTTGAATGAAAAGCGTTACTGGTAGAAGCTTAAAAGTGTCATCACTAAACAAACTGTCAGAGTTTCAGTCTGTTTTGATGAACACGGTGAATAACATTCCAGAGGTGGCAAGGTGTGGTCTGTGCAGTGCATCAGGACACACTGAGATCTGCCTGTGTCTGAACACTGGAGCTAACACAGCATCAAGACTGAATGCTACAGGGCCCAAGACTAAGAGTTTTCTGTTTTTGTTTTTGTTTCTTGTTTTTTGGGTTTTTTTTTACTTTATTTTTTATACACTTGCTAATGGATTTGAATCAGTATTTGAATCCATCAGGTGAAGAAAACCCCAAGATCTTGATTTTATTTTATTTTTTTTTAGATTTGCCTTCTTTCGTTTACAACAGTGGCAAAATAACTTCAATCAAAATGAGGTTAAGATTATTTTTAACAGATGTTCACTGCTGGCCTGACCCAAAATCCATTGACGTCAATGAGAAGACTCCATGGGGCTTTGGATTGGGTTCTAATTGTTGGAAAAATTAATGTTATTGTAAACCACTGGTCAGTGCTGTCACATGCTCCCCTTCTGTGCCAATTCTATATGACCGGATAACAACCTCACATAAATCTGTTCCAACTGTTGGCTAAGAGGCTAAGGACATAGAGGTTTATCTTTTTAATTCTGAAGCACCCCCTGCCCTCACCAGCACATCCCATGGCACTACTGTATTTACTTGACAGACTGGACAGTATTCATACAATAAAAACATTTCACAGTCCAACACTAGATGGGAATAACAGAATTATTAATGCTGACTGTATGAAGACAGCTGAACTGTAAATATGTATGAAATGAGATACTTTGGTTCGTATAATTTCAACACAGGATTTTGGGGCTTTTTTTTTTGCAGGGGGTGTTTTTTTTTTTTTTAAATACAGACCTGAAGGAAGGGTTGCACTTACTGTTAAGAAGACGGAAGTCTATAAATGGGTAGGAGCCGCGGCGCTCAGAGAGAACCCCTGTCTGACCTCTCACCCGTGCATCTCCTGCAAAACACAAAATCCCCAGAGATGTTAGAAGGGGCAGCTGCCTTTCTCTGCTGTTTAGATGTGGATCTATTTTCTATTCAAACTGATGATGTTACACTCCTCCAGTGGGAAAACGAAGGTCCAAAAAATCATCTCCCATGACATCCCTGGGTAACTGGGTAAAGCAGTGCAGCTCATCCTCTTAACAGAACAAAGGCACAAAACCCCCTCATGTTTATCCTATTGAACAGCTTCTTGCCTAGTAAGCAGACTCTCACTGCTTCAGGAGTAATGTAAAGGTCCATTTTTTGCCCAGACAAGGCCAGTTGGATTCTGACTGTCATGGCATCAGATGTAAAGGTCTCAAGCTTGGACTAGGCTCAGAGTCCAACCAAACTCCAAAGCTGTGGAACTGGTCTCAAAATCATGAGCTGATGAAAAAATCCTCAAGCAAAATATGAAGGTTTTTTTTTTTTTTTAAAGCAGTTTCATTTGTTTGATTGTTTGTTTTTGTTTTACTTTCTGCTTTTTGCTTACCCTGGAAAACATCAGCCTTCTCCTCAAACACCAAAGCTGCTTTAAGTAAGTGAAACTTGATGTTCTCAGAGACGCATTACTCCAGAGCTTTAGGATGTATATTTAAATACCATAAAGTGACAACACAATATTAAGAATTAGTATTGCTGTGTAATTCACATTGATTAGTACGTGACTTACCATGCAATATTGATGAAATAGGCAAACTCATCTAAGGAGAAAAATGCTACTCTGGGTGAATAAGAGTTACAAAACCTCCCTCCACGTAGGCAGGAAGTAGTGGGAAGCAGATGTCATTTTTATTTTTCCATAACCTTAAATATCATGTACTGCAATGTAATCATTTCTTTACAGGAAAATAAAAAGATCACAATATTAAAAATTCTTAAGTAAGATGAAGTTTGAAAATTCTAGAGGTTCAGGTTAGAGTACTCTAGTTCTTCACAATACCAATTCCTCCTGGACAGAGACACAGGCCATAGTGTTGAAAGCAGACCCACTGTGCTTCCTCAGACAGCTCACACTGCAGGCCTCTCAAAGTTTGCAATAAAATTATGAATTATTAGTTAGTTTGGATTTTGCTTCATCTGGGGTACAGATATAGCATCTGACTAAATAAAAATAATTTAAGAATTTGGCTGCTAGTGATAGCTACTGCTTGTGTTTAAAAAAAAGAAAATATCTTGCACCATTAAAGAAGGACCTAGTTAGATGCTGGGTGTTTTTCTATCTAATGTTCACTTAAAATGTGCTTACAATTATGTTTAAGGGTAGAAAGCCAAGTAGAACTATTAAGTTAAATATTCGAGGTGAAGAAAAACTTCCGTGCCCTCTGGGGTTCCTTAGAGGTATGAAAGACACAGGAGCATGCACTCAAATTAAGAACATTTCAAACACAGTTGCTTTTGATTATGAATATAAATCTATTTTCTCTCATCCTTACTTTCGCTTTGCTTTTTTGCTTCCAGAGACAGAACACGTGTCCCCTGTACCCAGCTCCCGCTTGCCAACCACTCACTCTAAGAAGCCAGCCCAAAACAACTCCAGCCGTAGTTGACCCCACTTACCCCTCCTGATAGCAGGGGCAGGAGGTTCAAACCTCTGCCTGCTCTTCAGCTGTTGCACTTCAAAGGCATGATAACAGCGTGGGTCTACCTTCATCAGCAGTTTAAAATCATGTGCAGCTTGTGGCAATGGAGGTATATAAACCTACTCCCCTGCGATCCTTCTGTTAAAGGGCAAAAGGGTAGAGCAAAGAGCTGGAGAGGTTGTAAAACACCGAAGCAAGATTCATCAGCACCCATGAGTGAGAACTCATAAGGCAGTACCCAGACTTAAAAGCACTGCTCTCTGCCACCGGTAGACCCATCAGATTGGCTGATTTGTGTAGAAAGAGTAAGAATGGCAAGCATATGGTACACATTATATAAACCCCCAAAAATCAGACAGGCTTGAGCCTGCCACTAAAAAAAGCAGCAGCAAATTAAGAACGGGTGTAAATTTAGAGCATGCCTCCATCGAGGCTTTTGTTCTTCTGTAGGCACTAATGACTTAACAGGAAACTGCAAATAATCCCCCGTATTAACACACTGGTAAACATGTCACTCGTGACTAAATCAACAGATACTTTAAAAAAAAAAAAAAGAGATAAATTCAAACTCCAAAAATCTGAGGAAAACACAAGATATATGACACTGTAAACCCTGAAAGACTGATTTTCTTTCTGGACATGAAATGATGTATCTATCAGATCAAGAGAAGTAGCATAGTACTAGAGAATAACAAAATCATACACAGTTACCTATCAAAAAAACTGCCTCTGATCTTAATAGTATGACCCCCCAAGAAGAAAACACAATGTGGGCTTACCAAAAGTAGACCATACAAGATAAAACTTGATATTTAATACTTCAAATAAAATAGCTAACTGTTAAACAAGAGGAAGAAAATCAATACTGTAGTGCATTTCAACAATATGGTCTTTGGTAAACATATAAGAGGAGAGAAGAGATGAATACATGAACTGAAGTTGGAAAAGACTAAAAGTAAGACAATAACAAGGTGAACTGAAAGGAAACTCTTGCTTGGAAATAAGTGCTGCATGATCTTTAGAAGATTCATATTGGGAATGGTCATACCATTTTTTATTGATGATCTTAACACAGTGTTAGGAGAGCACTACTGAGACTTGACGATAACACAAAGTTGGGAGGGACCAGGTATATACAGCAGCTGATGGCATGGGCTTTATACACACTGAAAGATGACCTGAAATAGTTAAGGACTATGCATGATGATTGATAAACTTGCTACCAGCTCTATGTTCCTCAAACTAAGAAAACATGAATGAGTTTTACTTAACCAGCAAAGCTAAGGACCTGAAGTCACGAAAAATTACTGGTGATTCCGATTAGCTATTTGTATCATTCTACATTTTTTAGAGATAATAAAGTTTGGGCTGTCTCTAGCACCATAAGAATCTATATGCAGGATAAATCTCCATCCCCGCTGACTTAGTAAAAGCCACTAAAATCCTTATATTCAAGGATTATTAACTTTACCCTCAGGAAAAGCAAGTTTCTGATGAGTCAAAGATGTTATCAAGTAGCTCTACCTCATGAATCTGTTATTTCAAGATACTTTGCCAGGTGCCACCTAGTCTCTTTCTACATCGTTAGAGAAAGATTAGTTAGGAAGTGGTGGTGGACTAAATCAACCACACCTGCCTTCCTCCATTTCTTTCTTGGCTCACTTATTTGAAAAACATTTACATTCTTCCCTTTTAATTATCTCTAAATACACTCAACAGAGATACTAAAAACAGAGACTGTACCAGATGTACACTATACCACATGATTTTTAATTTCTGAGAGGCAAGGGCTGTTCATGGCAACGCACCAGACTCTCTTATTCGCTTTGACAGAGGACTTTGAGGGCAACTTTCATCAGTCCACCAGATCTTCACATCTCTTTGCTCTCCACCTTAAAATCAAGCTAAACAATTGTTCTGACAATTTATGCAATTAGCAGTTTTAGATAAATAATCCTTTTTGGACCAAAAGGAAGGATTCTGTGGAAACAGGGCAGGAAACTTTGACAGCTCATTGTGTTCCTAAGTGAAACAAACAGGGTGAAGGGAAATGGCGAGGGTACAGGTTCTCCTTGGCTGCTTCGGGCTGAAGATGCGAGGCTGGAACATTTGCATGCGCAAACATGAAAGGCTGCACTCTCACTATAGCGAAAAGTCACCATGAGAGCTTCCAGTAGGGACGTCTCCCAGTGGCTGCCATGGTCTTGAATTTTACTTTGTCCTCATTAAAACAGACAAGAAAATAAACCAAACAAACCAAAGCAACCTACATTAGGTACCAGGAGCCTGGGCAGTGCATGCTGTGACTGGCATGCATGACAGCTTATAGTCTTGGGAAAATAAGATATGGGGTAAGAACCACAGTACTACTGTGGTCACAGCATCTGCACCATTTCAAGATGGGCAAAAGGGTTAAGAAAAAATTAAGCAGTTCTTAGCTGCCTGACACATCTGGAGGAAAGAGCCATCTGCACCGAGGAAAACTTCTCCAAGACTTGCCTGAAATGACATGGTATTCAATTTCACTGAGCAAGCACAACAAATTAGGAGAGAAAACAGGGCCATAGCTGTGACAAAACAACAGAGCAGCTTCATGCAGCAGGAGTCAGGACCAGCCACTAAATTATTGATTTTATTTAGTACACAGCTCCGTGTGGTAAGTCAGGAATACCACAGCAAATTCACATGAGGTTACAAGTATTTATTCTAGTTAAGCTTTTCTACAATTTTTATCCAAATATTTCTTAAGCAGACTGCTTTAGGACACATACTGCAATGGCTGAGTACTTTCTGTGGAAAATGGAGTGGCAGCAATAAGGTTCCTCATGGAGTCCATGGAGACCCTGGGTCCTTCACTATTTCAGTTATGAAAAGCCTTGGGACTTCTGAGACGAAGGAAGATGAGTTGTTGATGCTTTAAGCATCATTCTCGTTTTGGTGGAAAGCTTTCTAAAAGAGGGAAGTATTGCTGTGTAAAAGTAGCAAACTCAGATGAAAAGTTAGACTAAAAGTAAATAGTAGAACTAGTGGAATTATTTTTGAAGACTTCTAATGCTTGTTCATGGTGATTTGTACTTACTTGGATTATTTTCATTTTGTTGTCTTAGTGTTATAAAGATCATTTTTCTAAATTCTTGTCTGCGGAAAGCATTTTCCTCATGCGTGTAAGATTTTCAGTGAATAAGAACATTTCCTCTGAGCAGACATGATGAGACTGACATTAGAGGTTACAGAGACAGGATGAGTCTCCTATCCGGCAGGAGAAACTGGGGGAGCCACCTCCCTTCATCCATTTGTTAGCGCTGCATTTTTAAACACATAAATATTCCATAACATGAGGTTTTCTGTGCTATACAATGCACAGTTCTACTATTTCTGGTAACAGTTCTAATGAGCTTCTAAGTAGTGATTTCATCCAATGCGTTCTGCGGTTTCATTTCAGAATGCTCTGCAAGGGGAGACAACTGTTGGTACTCCCTTTTTACAAAAATGGGATAAAATTATGGCACAGAAACCATCGTTTGGTTTTGTAATTTTTTTATTTTTTAACACAGAAAATCTCTTGATTTTCCCTGTAGTGGTCCTACCCCATGCATGAGTTATTTTTATTTATTTTTTTTACCACTCAGTTACTTGGATTTCAGCTATTCAGAATTCCATCTCCACACCAGCAACAGTTGTAGACTAAAAATTTCACTCATCTTTTGTTTTCTTATAAAATTGTATTTTGGACTGAATGGTGGATCTCATGCTCAACATAAACTAGTGGCACTGTCTGACTGTACCCATCAGCTGTGATTTCTGCCCTCCTTACTAACCAAAATCCATACAATTTCTGTATATTAATCTCTTAAACAATATTATTACCACTACTTGCATCAACCAATAGAATGCAAGAAACAGAAGCTGACAATCTGTTCATAAAACCCTCCTCAATGCTAAAAGTCTCCTGGTAAGACTGCTTTTGCACTGATGCATAGTCTAGCTGGATATACAGCCAGAGGAAGACTCCAGGATCCACAGGCATGCCTTTAATAGCTGGTCCATTCTGACAAATGAGTATCTACAGTAAAGGTAAATGCATGTTTTACAGACACTCTTGAAATCTTCCCTTAAACTGTATCAGACCACATCAGTAACTCTGGAGAAAAGATTTTGAACTAAAATATCTTGAGACAAAGTTATTACAACATGCAGTCTTTGGAAAAAGTGCTTGCAGGCAACTGAAATCCAAGAGGATGAGAAAACTGCCATAGAGAACCAGGTAACGGCAGTCACCAGAAATTCAGGTACTGAAGCACTACCCATGTTACCCTCTTCACAGACCTGTTCTTGCATGAGCAAACGCAGAGCCTATAGAAGTAGCTACCTCTGACTCAAAAAATGGTCAGTCAACTAGGATAGACAATCCTTCATGTGCTAAAGAAGGTGGCTTTCCAAAATGTCAATACAGTATATCGCACTGGAAATTCTTTCAATTGTTTCTGAGTTTGATAGCGGGCTATAGCCTTAAGGTCAGATGTATTTCGAAGGTGTAAGTCAGTGGAGAGGAACAGGTGCCTCCACACAGTGACTAGCACTTAAAGAGACTGAATTGCCTTTCAGAGTTGCACGTGTTTGACTTTGACTCCAAATTGAGCCTAAGACACCTCTGTTCCTAAATTAGGTGCCATGGTTATGAGCACAGCGTACCATGGGAAGAATGTGAATCCTGCTTGTGAGGATTGTATTCAGACAGCCAAAATCACACCAAACTAAGTATGCTTTTCACTGTGATTATCCCTGTGATGGTTACTTTATTTTGTAATAAATGTAATAGATACATACACCTTCAGTTCACACCAGTGTGGGCACACCCTCAAAACTCATGCTGTGTACACTTGTACCGTATAGTATCATCCCATAGCTTGGTTAAACAAAAATCAGCACTTGTTATGCAATAGCAATTGGACTACTGTTCTCTATAAAAAGAAATAACTAGCTTCTTGACACTACTGTGTGATACTTACTTAACTATCAGTATTTTCTAGACAAAAATACAAAAGCTTATATAACAGTTTACATAAAGTGT